AAATGGAAGAGAGGTTTTGTAATAGAAGTTTCATTCGAGTCACATCATTTTTCAGTTTTCTGAAAATGTGTTAGCACTGGGAAAATCTCATTTCCATCCAAGACAGGGTCCAAACAGAAGGCTTTTGCAGGTAAATTCACTTTGCTGAAGTGACACAGAATGAACAGAATGCTGGAAATTAAAACCTTTGGCCTCCTCTTCCACATCCTGCTCATCCACCTGTGCTTCATTTCCCCGCCAGCCACGTCTTGTCCAAAGTCTCTCACTGCTCTGCTCGGCTGCTCGAGCCAGCGAGATCTGTGTTCTCAGGTAAATTCACCCCCATGCTCTGTAAAATGTTCGAGGTGGGTCCTGCCAGCCCAGCCTGGGCACTGTAGGACTCCAGCAGGTTTGCCACCAGGTTCATGTCCACATCCACAGGTGCCAGCTCAGCATCCTCAGCTCCAGAACCAGGGCCAGCACTCTCAGATGTGGCTGCTTCAGCAGAACTTGCCTGCAGCGAGTCCAAAGAGAAAAGTTTATCAAATTGCATGAGCAGATCTAAGGGGGAAAAAAAGACAAGCCACAAGAGAAAAGAAACAACAATTCTGCAGCAAACAAAGTCCAGCACGTTCCAGAGTCTTGACAGACAGGAATTCAGCCACCAAGTGCTCATGCCAGCTAAAAATCACCACTGCCCATGACTCAGATTTAAGTTCCAAGGGAAGAAAGTGTTGCTGAGTCCTGGCTCAGCTTCCTACAGGAGCAAACTACTGCAGGAACTCACAAATCAAGCTGCAGCTGCTTGCCCCACTGCTAAAAACAGGGCACTGAAACCAAGTCTTGGGAAAGATGTGCAAATTCAAAGTAAGTAAGCTTTAGTTTGAAAAAAAACTCATTATGGTGCAACTACAGCCCACTTTGCTGGCACGTGGGACGGTTTTGATCACATCACTCAGAACAGCCACTTTCAGCACATTTCCTGTTTGGAAGTTACTTCTACAAATGAGAGCTCAAGGCATACTCACCCCTCTCTTTTTGGTGAAACTTTTCCCAACGTTGGTCTGTGCCAGCTCACGGTCCATCTCATTCATGTACGACCTGAGACTGCCCAGGAGCTCCTCAGGAGACACCTTCTGCTCCTGCCTTTGGTTTCCAGCATCCAGGTCTTCATCATCCCCATCTGAGAAATCAAACTCCTCCTCTTCATCCAGATCATCAGAATCCAGCTCCTCCGAGTCTGCCCCTGGGTGTTATTTTGTGTCAGTACCACAGCAAAGAAATCAGTGCTGGGATTTATTTCAAATAAAGAAGCAATCTCACCTAAAATTCTGTCCAGTGCTTTCGTAAAAGAATCCACGTCAAAGGTAACATGGGATTCATCAGATGCCCTGAAATACAAAAATATTTTTAAATAAATTATACTTTTATGCTTGCCTGAGCCTGACACAGGCACAAGCCATATTGATTTCTCTCAAGCCAGGATTGAAGTTGGGACATTTGAACTTAGGAGTCCTCAGAAGTTTGAAGCCTGTATGGATGAGACATGAAACAGTGAGTGGAAGAATTCTTGGCATTAAAGAGAAAGATTTTGAAGACCACAAAATCAAACTGAGTGACAGAGAGCAGCTCAGCTTGCAGCACTTTAACCTGCACCAGTGTCAGAGTGGTACCAAGCTGATTTAAAGCAAGTCCATATTCACTGCTATGGGTTTGCTTCAGGCTCCTGCTGAGCAGAACACCTTCAAACCCTGGTTCTCTGCATCACAGAATCAACCACAGGGCTGCAGCAGAGCACAACATTCTACAGCTTCAAACTGATGCCATTCTAGTCACTGAGAATCCTTTGGCCAATAAGTGGAAGAAGAAAAAGGCTCACACTAAATTGGGAGACCCAATCCAGTATTTAGTCTTAATAAAGCTGGATTTGCTCTCTCTTCACAGCTGTCAACATTCCCCCTCTCCCCTCACAAAGAATCATCTGTAATAGGAATAATTCCCCCCACCCAGCTCACCATCCTCTGCAGGAAGACAAGCTGCTTCTCTCTCTAATTCCTTCAAATCAATGGATGTTGTCTGTAGCAGTGTCAGGATTTCATCACCTGGGCTCACTTCAGCAGAGCTAGAAGAAAAAAAATCATTT